ATAAAACAGCACTTACAGTATCACATGGCCGCTTTGAGATGTTGGAACTCAGTCTAACCACAGCTATATCTCTCCGAAACTAAGCGATTTCGCATCTGATTTATACTTACTGTATTTATTTACATGTACAATATCTTATAGCTAAATTTTGTTCCTTTGTTAACTGGACGATGCCCGTGTTTTGTGATGTGATTTTCATTTCATGTCTAGTGGTGACGTGAATATAAACATGTTGCTTGAGTGCGTCACCACTATGTATTCTTTTTTTTTTGCATGTTGAAATAAATAAAAAGAAGCCTTACCACATGTTGGTGAAGGTCCGCTCCAGATGCCATTTGACCGGCAGAAGAGTGAAGATGCGCCAGCCAAATCGTACCCTGGGTTACACGTGAAGGTGGCCACCCCTCCGAAAGAGTTGGATCCGCTCACGGCACCGTTTGTAGGATGGCACAGTGCGAGGCAGCGTTCAACTTTAGACCAAAGGGAGATGAAAAATGCATTTCTTAATATGCGGACATTTACTTGATGACAGTTCAAATGAGTCACACATTTCCTATACCTAGAAAAGTATACTGGTACTCATGATACTCCAGTTGTTTGAGCCAGACCTGTACACACCCGTCTAGCAAATCGTGGTTTGTTGTATGTTCATCGAACGAATGTTGAATACATATTTGGTGTTATACCTTGCTCGGCTAGTTCCGCTCTTGTTGTGAATGTGTGAATTGAATTATTTAATTCATATAAACTTGACAGATTGAATGTGTAATCATTTACCTATTCGAGCATCATATGATGGTATGCCTCAGTTGTTGTTGTTGTGGGGAGTAATTAGTAATATATGGGTCGCGTTATGTCTTTATCGGGGGTTAACAACATGGTACTTACCGGAAACCGGGCAGCAAAAGCGGACATCATAGTCCAGGCACTGGTTATCAGGTTGGTCTGCGTTAACGCACTTGAAGCCCGCCATCACATCGTACGCAACAAACACTTCGCCCGTCATGCTTGCCTCCTGCCGCGTGCCTCTAGCGCGGGCCTGGACACGTGTAGGTGTGGGGCAAACCTGACCTGGATTATCCTGAAGGAAGGCACACAGCACTTCCCCGTCTCCTACTCCGCTTGGATTGTCACGACTCAGCCACGCCGTCCACCTCTCACAGGGATCTGTGATAGAGGAGGCAAGTCATTCATTTGTTATCATCAATACGTCATAGATATAAAGAATCAATGATAACATGCAATTGAATAACGTAAATGTAAATAAATAAACACACACACACACATATAGATAGATAGATAGATAGATAGATAGATAGATAGATAGATAGATAGATAGATAGATATAATTAGACAGAAAATAGACAAAGCAGAGAGACAGAAAGAGGGAGAAACAGAGAGAAAGAAAGAGAGCGAGAAAGAAAGAGGGAGAGAGAGAGAGCAAAGGAGTCACCTTTGTCGTAAAACACGGCTGTGCTGTTGTCAGGTTGCTCACAGGTTGCACTTTTCGGGTAGCAGTTGCCGTTTGAAAAGTTGAAGGCCACACATAGTAAACTGCTGCTACACCGGTCGGCACACTGGGACAGAGAGATGCCGGTCGCGAAGATGGACAAGATGTCGTTCCCAGAACAGCCTCCGGCACGCACGGTGTATCCGGCAACAGGAGTTTGGACTGTCGAATAATAAAACACCCGAATAAGCGAAACTACCTTATACGTTGCATGATCATATGAGAAAGGAAGGAGTCAACATCTGACCTGTTAGCCTGGTATCCTGTCGGGTACTCTCCAAGCAGAGCTTTGGGTTTAGGGTTATGTTTGGTGTGTTTTTAGGCTTTTGTTTTTATTAGTGTTTCTCTTTTGCACTGTAATTTTTTTTACCCATTGGTGGGGAAAAAATTCAGTGCAAAAGAGAGACGCTGATAGAAAAGCCTAAAACACGCTAAAATACCCCAAAACCCAACCTCTGCTTGGAGAGTACAGACCGGGAAGCACAAACCTCTTAGAGCCCCCGAAGACACAGCCTGCCTTAACACCCCAACACCCCCAACCACGTAAGACTGGATACCAGGCTACTGACCTGTAATCTGGTAGACCTCGTTTGCCCAAAACCCGCCTTCGCCGTCGGTTGCACACGCCGTGGAACGCCCGTACATGTTGTAGGTTTGATGCGCATCAGCTGACCCGGCACACCAACCGCCATCCTGTACAGCAAACACGGTAATGCCACGAGACAGTGCTACCTGGAAACACTTCTCAAGGGCGCTGATACGTGACTGATAGTTGCTGCCGTCTAGGAGTGGATCTGTCCCCTCGAGTGTTGGAATGGCGTGGCCAAACTGAGTGTCGCTCCAGCAGCCCAGGCTGAAGTATCCACAGCTTTCACATCCTGTGGAAAGAAGTATGCATCTCTGTAACATAGATCTGTTAGTGTTTTTCCCCGAAATTCGGCTGCTGTTGTTTTCTAACACGATGTGACAAACTAATCTCTGACAATATGTAAATCAATTTGCTTCTTCCATCATCATCAAGTCTAGCCTGGGTACCATCCGGATTTTCGCTGCGCAACTTCGTCGGCCATGTTGATGATATCGAACTCGGAATTCGAATGCTGTTCCATGGTTCTAAAGTTCCAAACGCGTTCTTTTTGTTCGATTTTTGGCTTAAAATGCAACTTTTTTCACCCATTTTTTGCCAATAAAATCATTTTTTGGCATCCATGTTGACCAAAATTACCGTGGTTTAGTGTTTTATGTACCAACCTACCAACATGCTTAATTTCATTTCCCTCCAGGCTCTAATTACGAAAATATCGACTATTTTAGGTGCTTGGAGGAGAGGAAATTGAGCAAATATAATATGTTTACCGCTTTCTTCGGTAAACATAACAATATGTTTACCGCTTTCTTCGGTAAACATAACAATCAGCAAACTTGAAATTAACGTTTGTCCACAGATTTAATAGGTTCAACAAAAAGGTTATGTTTTCGAATATGTCGTGAGGAGTGGCTGTGGCGTAGATTTCATAACTACACATGGTATGACCAGTCGGACCAACCGCCATCAACTGTTATACATACAACGGCAGGAGATATTTAGATCCTGTAAATTTTCAGCTTGATATAATTTTTATTTCATTTTGAATAATAACTGTTTAATAAACTAAATCAACAATACCAGAAATGACACTTTTCTTGACTCTGTACCCCTTTCCCTTGACCCTATGACATGAATGGCTAAAAGCCCATTTTTCTCCATGGACTACATCCCACCACCTGTGATCTGTATTTGCTGTCAGGCAAGTGAGCTAGACTCTAACCAAGACGGCAACAGAAACCTACTGTCAGTGCTGCAGCCTAGAATCTCCGCCCTCATGGTGATGTGAATATTCCAGGACTGAACCACGAAGCGCACAAAACGGGCAACAACTGGGTTGTCCAGTAGATTTGTTACTGGTGTGTTGTTATCCGTGTTGGCTGTGAAAACCTAAAAGAACGATTCAGATGAGGACATAGTTACACTTTCTGATGAGTATTCATTAAGGTTAACCTGGACTGCCGACTTCCATACATGTGCCATGATTAGGCACCTTTACGTTGGCCAAGGTTCGACATTTGCCAAAAACATTTTCGAAGGGGAAAATTAAATTGAAATTGAAAATGTGATCAGTTGGGGACCGCTTTTTTATTTCAATACTAGACGTGGTGACAAAACACTTGATTTTTTTTGTCGCCACAAACGCAGAAGACAAGTACAGTGCAATTAAGTTTCGACAGCTTTG